AAACAGCAATAGAAAGCTAATAAAAGCCAATAAAAACATTTACTTCTATACCCTTATATGTGGATACAGTCAACAACTTACTATGCCAAGATGGTACCATTATAGCCGCTCATGCAAGACTCCACAATGCTTTTAGTTACAGTTGAGAATACAGATTCCTACAAATGTAAGTACCAAACACATTAACATTTCAGAAAAATGAAAACCTTTTCCTAAACTATATTCTACAATATAATGAGAAAAACTGAGTGCTAAGATTTTTTAAACAAACTTATGACATCATGGTTACATCCTCTATAGAAAAATGTCTGAAACATCTAAGCAATAAAATTTTAACCATAATTAAATCTATTAATCTCCCATATAATTATAGATTTAAAGTGCACATCTATCAAGGGCAGGACAGAGTCTGGCCAAATATCAGTATCTGAGAAAGCTAACTCAGTGCCTACTTGACTGTCTTTACCTTCATCTACTTCTATGAAATAGAGTTCGTACTATTTTTAAAAAGTGTTGATGTTAAGTTTATAAATTAAAAAAAAAAAAAAACTAAATTTCATGTAAAATTTTTCATAGCATATTGCATGCAAATATTAATCTGGTATTAACAAATAACCCTATGACTTATTCAGTTATTTTCTTATAAGTTTATACTAAATAATATCTGATTTTTATTTTGAATTTTGCATATAAGTAGATGCAGTCTTATCAACAACTCAAGAACCCCTAAATCTACATTGTCCACGAGCCACACTTGACTATTGAGTACCTAAAACATTGCTAGTCAAAATTGAGATGAGTTGAAAGTGTAAGACACATGCTAGATTTTTTTTTCTTTTTGGGGTACCAAAGATTGAACCAGGGGTGCTTAACCATTGAGCTCCATCCCCAGCCCTTTCTAAACTTTTTTTTTTTTTTGTGGTGCTGAGGATTGTCTAAACTTTTTTATTATAAGACAGGATCTCGTTAAGTTGCTGGCTTCAAATTTGCAACCATCCTGCCACAGCCTCCTGAGTCACAGGGATTACATACATGTACTACCACGCCTGGCCACACACTAGATTTTGAAGACTGAGTGTAGAAAAAAAAAAAAAGGAAAATATCTCAATAATTTACACTGATTACATGTTGAAATGATACTTTGGACATACTGAGTTAAATAAGACATATTTCTAAAATCAATTTTACCTGAGTCTTTATACTTTTCTTTTCAATGTGTCTACTAGAAAATTTAAAATTATACATGTGGCTTTTATATTTCTATTGGCTAGCAATGCCATAAATGAAAAGGTAAATGATCTAAAGCTCTAAATAGCTCACCAAAAACATATGTATAAGAGAATAATCAAGACCCATGATGTACAGTATAGTAAGAATTAGCTATACATGGCTACTGAAGTTTAAATTAATTAAAATTAAATAAAACTTAGTTCATCAGACACACTAGCCACATTTCAAATGCTCAACACAGTCACATGTACCTAATGTACATAAGGCACCGATTTAAAATTTTATTTAATTTTAATTAAACTTAGTCATGTGGCTATAGATTACTGTGATAAACAGCTCAGATATAAAAGATTTCCATTAATGCAAAAAGTTCTATTGGCTAGTGCTGACTAGATCTTAATTAAATTGGCCTTATTGTCATCATAGTAATTCTAAAATCCTTAAACTAGGTGGCTGATTGTTCTCATCAAACACTCAAGCGGCCCCCAAAAGTACTCCTCCATTAACCTCCATCACTGAGTGGAGAAGCAAAGTAAAACAGGCTTGTGTTATCCTATCACAAAATTCGATGAATAAAGAACAAAGCTATTTAGTAAAATTAGAGTTGAAATATTCATGGAATGTTTGAACTTATCTTAAATCAATCAAACTAAAGAGATCAAAAATGAAATCTTTACAAATAACAAAGACTTGTATATTTCAAGTGAAAAATAAGCTTCCAGTTTTCATTACCTGCGTGGTGTCCATGTCTGCAACATAATCAAATGTGAAGATCTTGGGCTCAGGGCTGGAATGCAACCGGAGACTTGTTGTGGAAAGCACAGATAAGCACAAGCCATGCTCTCCATCAACTGACCTAGAGCCCTCGGCAGGTGGACGAATTCGCACAAAAATTTTGATGGCATCACCTTCATTACTAAAGGAAAAGAAAGTAACAGCTAAGTTTATTGGAGAAAAGAAAATTGTATAGGATCTGAATTTCATGTTGCCTCTAATATTTCTTATAATAAGTTTCCCCAACAAAGTCCAATACGTACTCCATTTAAATTTACCTCTTATAAGAGTCTCAATGACCCACACTGTTTATTGAGTTAGTTCATGATAGGCACCTTCATAAACCTTTACTGGAAATAAAGGGAGTTCTTTTCAAAGGGATATAAACACTGCTTGTCTCTCATTCCCTCTTACCAGCAAAAATAAAAGTCATTCCAAGGGAGAATTATGTAACCAATCCCTTATTTTAATTTGGAAATTAAGAGGGCAGGGGAAGTATATTATTTTCCCATATTTCCAGCTGATTGAGGACTAAGCTAAATTTTAAAACAAGTACCCCTTACTATGCTAAATACTTATTCTAGAAATATAAAATTGCTAATTCTTTGGGGGCTCATCAATAAGACTTTTTTCTTACCTCGGCAGGTTAGACTGAGAATTTGTCACATTGCGTAACTCAGCTAAAAAAAAAAAAAAAAAGATAAATCATTAAAGATGATTATAATTAGTTTATGGAAATCCCATTCTCTAACTTGTTCCTCAGTTGCTGACACTCTTCAGTCTCCCCATCCCTCACATCCATGGTGTGATGCTCCTGGGCTGAGGCCTTGATCCTCTTACCTATTCTATCTCAACCCACTAAGGTGGTAATGCTGTCTAGCCCCATGGTTTTAAAAGCTAGGTATATACTGATGATTCCCAAATTTAAATGTTCTCTCTAGATTGTTTTCCTAATTGCTTACTTAAAATCTACAACTGGATGTCCAGGGGGTAATGTCTCAAATTTAATGTGTCCAAACCTGCTCCTGATTCCCTTGTGCCACACCAATGTTCTGCTTCATCTCAGTAAATCACAATTCCATCCTTCCCGTTGTTCAGGCCAAAAATCATAGAGTCATCCCTAACCCCATTCTTTCTCACTGGAGCCAATCTGTCAGCAACTCCCTGACTCTAACTTTAAAATATATCTGTAATCTTAAACTTCTTGCCAAATCCACTGCTACCACTGCAGAATCAAGCCAACAACATCTTTTACTTGGGTTATTACAACAGTCTCCCTGCTTCTCTCACTCCCCTGAGCAGAGACCACCATAGGGATAAAGGACAAATGCAATCCTGGGCCTTAAATCATGGGCTGACAACCATTAAAAAATAGTACAAGATTTTTCTCTGCTCTCCCACCTTAACTCATTGTTTGTAAGGTATGAAAAGCTTGGTATGGGCCTTACCCATTCCCCTCAAACAACTTTATTAGCTTCAGAAACTAGGTGCCTAATTAGGATCAGGATGCTCTTGCCATGACTCTCTGAGGACAAACAACATGATGAATAAAAACTGTTGAGAAACCATCAAAATGGCAAATTCCCAGGGCCCTTAATTTGATGGCTGCCATAATTTGTGTTCTCTTCCATGCCCCACCTTTGTGTTCTCTTAACAGCTACTGAGACTTCCTTATTACAAGACAAATGTTTATATGGAATGTGGCAACAATATGGAAAACTAACATTTGGCTCCTGGATAACTAACTGATCTTCCTCAGAGTTAAAGTGCTCTCACAGGAAAAGAACCAATACATCCAGAACTTGGAGGAGTTCAAATAGGAGAAAACCAAAGAGGAGTACAGATAGACACATTATACTAAATATTCTGAAAGTCAAAAACAAGAAAAAAAAAAATTGAAAGCAGCAAAAAAAGGCCTGTTGTTACAAGTAGCAAGACGAAATCCCATACCATCCCACTCCCTCCAGCCAGCACATATTCACATTCCATAAGCTACCCTCCTAATTGTCATTTAGTAGCTGCTTCAGTTATCATTAGATCGTCTAATGGTAGGTATCAGTGTTTTTGTTCAAGTAAGCTTTGCAGCCTGTGTCACATTGCATAGCTCATTCATCTCAATTATCTTACCGATAGGCATTGTATCATCTCATTTCAGAAAAGGAAGGATGAACACAGTAAGATTTTTAGAGAGACCACATTCACATAACTATTATTACAGTGTACTATTCTAACTGTTCTTATTATTTGTTATTGTTAGTATGTTACTGTGACTAATTTACTGGGAGTCTTGGAATGTATCCTTGAGGATAAAGGGCGACTACAATAAAGATACTGCTGCAATCTGTGCTTTAAATTCCATTATCTGCAAGAGAAAGACGTGTTTGGGACATAGATAAATCCTTCCTTTTGAGAAAGTCAGAAATATGGAAACCTGCAGAAGGTAGTGATCACTGAGTAAGTGCTGACCCTCAGGCAGGGCCACCTAGACAGGCAGCCCGCAGCGGACAAAGAAGAGGGCCGGCAAAGAAGCAGCAAGATGGAAAGAAGGAAGAGGAAGAACAGATTCTAGTCTTAGGGCTCCGGTTCCCCACTGCTGTTCCCGAGCAGAAGTGTGCCAGCTCCCCGCACGCGCCAATGTGCAGAAGGAACGCTGAGAGTTGCCTGCCAGCTCGCTCTCTGTGCAGCACGGATTCCAAGATGATCACCGATCTTTCCTGTCCTTCACCAGGGACAACCCTACGGGCAGCCTCGCGACGTCGTATCTCGGGCGGTAACTGGGTCATGAAACCGCGGCCCCCGACTTACTTTTGCAGCCAGGCGCCATAGCGCCCTCAGCCCTGGACCTGGAACCTGCTCAGCCGACGCCTCCACCTCCCGCCCTGCAGCGGTCCCGCCCGCCCAAGATGGCGAGAATTTGAATTTGGCGCTCCGGCCAGACACTGACGTCACACGCACACCGACTTGCCCGGTCTCCGTCGGGGCGTGGTCTTGACGTCATCGGCGAGCGCCGTCACATCTGGGGACTGTCAGAGAGCCCTCGAAAGGGTCTTACCCAGATCCGCCATGAGCAAGCGGAACCAGGTGTCGTACGTGAGGCCCGCCGAACCCGCCTTCCTGTCCCGCTTTAAGGAGCGAGTCGGGTACAGGGAAGGGCCCACCATAGAGAGCAAGGTGAGCGCTGCAATCGCGTTACCTCGGAAACGCTCCCGGTCCACCATTTCCGGCTCCTGCAGGCCGGTTACTCCTCACCCCAATTTGGTGGACCTCGGACCGTGGGCAGGACTTGTTGAAACCATACATCCTCCTGCGTCTAGGAAGCTCTGTTTTAGAGCGCGGCTGCTTTCTCGAAAATGACCTGACGTAGGTGAAGCTCCTGGTCCTTGGTTAAGAAAGATGGCTTTCTTGTCTCTTTTCGCCTGCATATCGCAGAACCTGTGAGGAGATTGGATAATAGCACCGTCCCCATTTTCCAGATGAGAGGACAGGTCACTCGGTCAAATGACCTGATATTCTAAGACTCGAGTCTCGAATGTATTTTGATGAACGCCCTGTATCTATTTCTGTTTTGTTGTTAAAATAAATTAAGCATATTCTTAAAAGCAAAGTAAGCAAAACCTTAAATACGATGGGACGGGATGTCAATAGGAATCAACCATTGAGCCCTCTTGGGCTTCTGCTTTAGCTGGTTCACACCAAACCTGCCCCAACTCTTTCAGTAGTAACAGACCATTATGCTTAGAGGATGCGTGGGAAAACAAGTTTTATTTAGCATTGTGTCTCTAGTATTTGCACTAAGGTCACTTAGAGCTTCATAGAAAGGACAAAATTGATTTACATGAAGTTACTCAATACATTGAGTGTGTGCTAAACCCAGCACTGTGCCAGGCTCTGAAAAGACAGAGAGATGGATTTCTAAAGTGTCATTTTCTTTTTAACACCTTCCTGCCCTGCTTCGTATCTGTAGGCACAGCCCATCATCTCTCTGAAGGCCTTCAGAACCCCCAGTTATTCTTTTTCCTACTTGTTACTTTATCCATATCTTCTCTATAATACTCATTTTGTATTTCATCCACTTGTGCCTCTCATCTGTATCTCCTTCACTAAATCAGACTCTCTAAATTCTTACCAGAATCCCTCTGTTGTCCAAGCACTGTGTCTGCCATTATGAATGGAGTTAAAATTGGTTGGATGCCTGCTTGTTTCAGGCAAGGTTTCGTGGAGGAGGGGTATTTGGATTAAGTCTTGAGCACTGGTAGGTTAGCAATTAGAGACAAGGGAACTGCATGGGTAAAGGTGTGGAGGATGGTGAGTTATGGACTATATGTAGAAGCAATGGAGGGATTGATGGAGATAGGCAACAAGGAACCATAGAGGTAAAAATCAGAGAGTGATTGATCCCCATGACCAAAAACAATAGTAATGACAGTAAGTTTTGAGAAAAGGGATATGGATTCAACAATTGAACGCAGGAGATGTAACTATTGTTTTTTGGTCATGGGGATCAGTCACTCTGATTTTTACCTCTGTGGTAACAATCTTTTTTTTTTTTTTAGTTGTAGATGGACACAATATCTTTATTTTATTTATTTATTTTTATGTGGTGCTGAGGATCGATCCCAGTGCCTCATGCATGCTAGGCAAGCACTCTACCACTGCCCCTGTGGTAACAATCTTGATTGTAACAATCTTCCCAAACAATTCTTAATGAATTTGGCAATACAATTAGCATTTTAGTGATCTGTTAACAAAAAGAACTGACTTTTGTGGGAAATCATAATAATTGAGATAAATCATCTTATTGATCTTCTTGAGAGTTAATTCAGAAGTGGCTTTAAACAGTCACTGTTCCTTACACTGTTTCTTTAGTTTTCTAGTTAGTCAAATAAAAAAAGAGAATCAGAATTATTGATTCTCAAGTCTAAAGAATATCGGAAATAATTTTACTTTTCCATTTCCTTGTTAAAAATGCTTAATTACCTACTTGATTGTGATCGCTTATTAGAAACGTTTAGAGAAAAATAGGCAGCAACTGGTGAATAGTCAATAAACTAACAGATATAATTAAAGAGAATGAGCTTATTGAGTAATGGGACTTGGGCACTTAAGACCCACACTAAAAAGATGAATGAACTTGTGACTAACTTGTCAGGACTTCAGATTGTTCAGCATTAACCCATCTATTGGTTATTCATTAGTAGATCAGCAAATATTTCTTGAGTCCCTTCTATTTTCTAGGCTGTGTGCCTCTAGATACAGAGATGAAACACAGCGCCTCTCTCAAAGGAGCTTGCTTACTGGAGACAGACAAAGCATTGAAAACACAGTGTGGTACTTGCCTCCTATGAGCTGTGTACAGTGTACAAAAGAAAAAGAGGTGAGATTCTAGAAGATCTGAGTCCTAAAGGCTGCTTGAATAGCAGTTAGACAGAGGCAATGGAGATTTGTTCAGAGACAAAGGAGGAGATAAAGGAGCCTTTATGTTTGGAGATCTCCAAGTACTCAAACCTGACTGCAGTCTAGAGCCACAAGAGAGTGGTATGGGAGAAAGCTGTAGTCATAGGCTGAGGCCAAGTCATGCAGGGCTTTGTACCCTGTTAGGGACACAGAGCTCAATGAGAAGTGGAATAATGAGCTGTTTGAATAATATGTTGAAGACACTTTTGGTGTGCTTATCTTTCAACCCAACAGTTCCACTTCCAAGAATTTGTCTACATATAAGTTTCTAAAAATGAGCAAAAATGTATACAAGGTTTTTCTCATAGTAGGAAAAAGCTCTTAAACAACCAAAATTTTTATTTATAGGGTACTGGGAAAATAAATCATGAAATGGCCACATATATAATTAAATACAAGGCAGTAACTTTATAAAATCAGGTAACTATAATCTCAAAGTATTGTAAAGATATTTTTCAGTTAAAAAAAAAATGAGGGGGCTTTTACGGTGTCTGGCATTTTTTAGAAATCTCAAACAACTGGCAAAATGTTACCATTTAGCATTTGTGTTTAATGAGTCCATGTTTAGTGTGGGCACTTATTCCCTATACTTTATGTTTGAGAAATTTCATAATTTAAATAAAAAAAGAAGTCATAATATTGACAGTTTGATTATGTGCAAAATGTTTTCTATACCTATATATTTGTATATACTTGGAAACAGCTGAAGCTCTTACATGGGATAAGGAATGAACAGAGGTAGGAGAAGAACACTTCTTACTTACTACTTACTTTGATGGCATTTGATTATTTTCTGTCTTATTCTGAGAAAAGACAGAGGTAAAAAGTGTTGATGAGTGGGGCATGGTGGTGCACACCTGTAATCCCAGAAGCTCGGGAGGCTGAGGCAGAAGGATCACAAGTTCAAAGCCAGACCCAATCTCTAAATAAAATACAAAAAAGGGCTGAGGGTGTAGCTCAGTAGTTGAGTGCCCCTGAGTTCAATCCCCACTACAAAAAGAAAAAAAAAAAAAAGTGTTGATGAGGAGCAAAGAGAATTGATATAGCTTAGCACTGTCCTGAGTAGACTAGGCATGATGGAATTACCCAAAGCAGAGGGCCCCTATCACATAAATGCAAACAGGAATCCTCCTGATTTGGAAATGAATCCCATTGGATAGGCATCCAGGGTGCCTGGCAGGTAAACCTATTCCCTAGTGTGGTGTAGTTAGATTCTTTGCAGTTACTTGAAAAATTATTTCCTATCTCATTTAGTTGTTACGTTACCCTTCTCATTTTAATCATTACACTTGTTTACAGAGGCAGTACTTGTATTTGGTTCAAGATCAGTAATCTACATGCTGTATTTTGTTTTCTCCTAGAGAATCCAGCCTCAGCTCCCAGATGAAGATGCTGATCACAGTGACCAAGAAGATGAACGGCCCCAAGTGGTGGTTTTAAAAAAGGGAGACTTGACAGCTGAAGAAGTCATGAAAATTAAAGCAGAAATAAAGGCTGCAAAAACAGGTATATCTGAAAGTAATTTGGTTTCCCTAATAATTTAAGGAGCCTGGAGTATGAAATTGCCTTATTTTATATAATAGAGAGGCTTGTTTGAAGGAGCTGGTCCTTGGTTCAAGTCTTGATTTTGGCACTTCACCAGATATGAGATCTTGAGCCAGTTATTTCATCTCTGAGCCTCAAGTTCCTTGTTAATCAAATGGAGACAACAAGTGTACTTAGTGGGTTGTTTTGAGGATTAGGGGTGAGTTTAAGTAAAAGCCCCATATTAAAAAAAAAAAAAAAAGTAGTAAAGTTTACAAACAAGTCAATGAAGTTCTGTGTAATAATTAGTGCCTGAAATGTGGTTTCCTAACAACTATTACATTGTTTTGTGGGAAAATACAGTAGTTCCAAACACTTTTCAAAAATACTTAAAAATACAACCTGATTGGACTAGGGATACAGCATTTGCAAGTGAATGCTGATCTTGAGGGGCAAATAACTAGAAGTCCATACTGAATTTACTCCAAGGATATCCTTAAATACAGTATGAGAATATTTTTGCCATTTGACTCTTGTTAATGGCAAAATAATGAGAAAAAAATCTTTAACTTTGTTTTTGCTTCAGATGAAGAACCAGCTCCAGCTGATGGAAGAATCATGTATCGAAAACCAGTCAAGCGTCCCTCAGATGAAAAATATTCAGGTTTAACAGCAAGCTCAAAAAAGAAGATAACAAGTGAAGACAAAATAAATAAGCAGGACTTAGTTAAAAAGAACTCACAAAAGCAAATAAAAAACACCAGCCTCCTTTCTTTTGACAATGAAGAGGAAAACGAGTAAGTGTAAATCATTTTGTACTTAGTCTTCTTTGAAAGTACATAAGGTATTTTTTAAAAATATTTCTTTTTTTATGTCTTTTAAAATAACATTTTTTCCCTGTTACACAAGTTCATCTTAGAAAATACAGAAAAAAATTTAATAAAACAAAATTTTTGGCTATCCATCAATAATCCTTTGACAGGAAATGTCAACTTTATAGATTTTGACATTCTGTTACTTGCAATATGTGTATATATGTATGTAAATTATATTTTATAAACAAAATTGAGATTGTATTATGTGTGTTTTCTGTCCTTCCTTCTTAGTTGACATTACATTGTGAGCATTTTTTCAGGTCATCAAATTTCATAAATCTGACATTAATAGCGACAGAGAATTTCATAATTAAATTAATTCCCCTTATTGTATCTTCTCCATTAGCAGAACACTTTGAGTGAGGGAGATGATAATGCAACTAGTTAAAAATACTTCCCTAGCTGGGTGCAGTAGCTCACTCACATCTATAATCCTAGTGACTCCATGCTGGGGCAGGAGGATTGCAGGATCAAGACAAATATCAGCAACTTAATGAGGCCCTAAGTAATTTAGCAAGGACCTGATAGTAAAGCACCTCTGAGTTCAATCCCTGGTACCAAAAAAAAAACCCACACAGTTCCTGCTAAGGGTGGCCCTGTTACTTTGCTCTGGCAAGGTAAAAGGTGCAGGTGGAAGCCTGCTTAATAAAGATGCTGGGTTTTTTTATACAAAAGAATGGGCTTGAAAAATATGAGCCTTTGCCCTTATCTCTTCATCCTGCTCGGAGTACAGACATGAAAGCTAGAAGTAGCAGAGCTGTGTTTTTTTGGCATACAGAAGACAACTACTTTCTGGGGGTATTAAAGTGGAAAAATTGAAGGAGATTGGATCTTTATGGCATGCACCAGACTTGGACTGCTAGCCTCTGAACTTCTTCATACATAAGAAGAATAACCACTATGCTTATTTAAGCTTCTGACAGGTTTCTCTTAAAGGGTCCTGCAGTCAAATGCCATCGATCCCTACGGGCAGGGGTTGTAGCTCAGTGAAAGAGCACATACCTAGCATGGTGAGGCACTAGGTTCAATTCTCAGCACCACATAGAAATAAATAAAGGTCCACTGACAACTTAAAAAAAAAAATTAAAATGTCATCTCTAAGTGATACAGTAAATAACTGGTTAAACCTGAGTGTATTTCTGATGATTGAATGAATTACTGGAAACATTTTTTAAACATTTATATTATTTATTAAGAGTTAAAAGTATTTGAATATTTTTAAAGCAGATGTTTAGTAAAAATTGCTTTTTTGTTTGTTTTGTTTTGGTTTTTACCATTTTGTTCATTAAGCAACCCTAAGAGGCCACTTGACCTCAGGCAGAATAACAGTGCACCAGCTTTGGGTTGACACTAGGCTTTTTCTTTTTTGGGGGTCAACTTCCTATTTTCAAATGGTACTTAATCGGTTAAGTTCAATTGGCATTTTCTTTGATCTACCAATGAGGCTAAACTTCATTTTTTTAAAGTTTTTTTTAATACCTTTATTTTTATTTATTTAATTTTATGTGGTTCTAAGGATTGAACCCAGTGCTTCACAAGTGCCAGGCAAGCGCTCCCACTGAACTATAACCCCAGCCTAAGGCTAAACTTATGATGTTAACTATTCTTTTCTGTTCCTTGAATTAACTTTTTGTTAATTTCCATTAGTTTAGTCATGTTTCTCTTACTAATTTATAAATTGTGTAATTTGTGAACCTTTTGTTCTGTCTCAGATAAAGAATCACCTCACAAGGCATAATCCCAGTGACTCGGGAGGCTGAGGCAGAAGGATCACAAGTTCCAGGCCAGCCTCAGCAACTTAAGGAAACCCTATCTCAAAATGAAAAGTAAAAATGGCTGGTGGTATAGCTCAGTGGTAGAGTGCCCTGGGTTCAGTCCCCAGTATCAAAAAAACTATCACCTTTAATCGCTTATTCTTTGTTTCATTTTTTACATTTTGAACTTTATCCCACCTGGAATTAAAATAGATATACTTTTTTTCTCTCCAGTAATCAATTATTGTAGACCCATGCCTGCTTCTCATTTGAAAGGCCATCTGAATGAGAGGTTTTTCCAAATGTTGGGATAGGGAAAGAAGAGAAGCATTGTAAAGCCTGCAGCTTTCCAGGTAATTCCTCAAGCACCTGCTTAATGCTAATAATTTTTGTCATTACTAAAAGTCACCCAAAATTGGGGGCTTAAGACCCCATCTTCACCAGCCACATCTGTCTGAAATTAGGAATTTCAGAGCATCCTGTCATGAATTTGGTGCCATATCTGTCTCCTCCATTTTAAGTATCCAAAGACTACTCCAAAGCAGGGTGTGGGAGAAAGACTACTCACAGTTGACCTGTAGGTGGAAAGGGAGCCCTGATATAGGCTCTTTCTAAATTATTCAACTAGTCCTGAAGCCATTCTGCAATACTCTCTTTAATGTATACCCACTTGTTATGTAAGCCATGGTGTTTTGTTTTGTTTTTGTTTTTTTTCCTCTTTCTATTTATATTATTGTTCTATTCTTGAACCATAACTATACTGGTTTATCACCACTGTATCCTCAGAACCCAGAAGAATATCTGGCATATTAGGTACACATTAAATATATTTAGAATGAATGAGAGTGTTGTCTTTAATCTTTTCATAGGTCAGTGGACCCTGGGCCAGCAGCACCAGAGCCACTTAGGAACCTGAAAAATGCAGATTCTCGGGCCTTGCTACTAAATCAGAAGCTTGGTGTAGTTTACCTAGCTCTGCAAGTCTGACAGGTGATTTTGATATGAGAACCACTCATAAGACTATTAGAACTATTATAAGAAATAAAATGAAAAATTTAAGCAAGAACTATGAAAAACTATTATAAAGGCCTAAATCTTACAAATGCATCATATTAAGGAAACCTTTACTGCAATTGATACATGTAACAATGTAAATGTAATTGCTGTGAGTTTACCTCCTCCCCACTACCCCCATATCCTCAGACCCTCAGATTCCTGAGGGTGAATGACAGAACTGATTGTAGCAAGGGGAGCTGGCCCTCCCTTCTTGCACAGGTTTCATTCCTTGGATCCTATCTGTAATATTTTTATGGTCAGACAGACCCATAACATATCTTGCCTGATTTCTGGCCCCTTCCCTGGCTCATCTCTAAATTCAGTGTCTCTTCTCACTCAGTGTACCTTACCCAGTCCAGTTTCCTGGGGATGCATCTAGCTGTGCTCCACTCTGTAGGAGTCAAATTGCCCCATATATTGAAAAGCTTCCAATTCCTGTAACATATGAAACTTACTAAAGGGGCTTAGAAGCTGATAAGGCTGTCCTGGGGTTGCTCTTGCCACCCTGGTTTCTTCAAATCCATAGGGCCCTGTGACAGCACAAGATGACAGCAGAGACAGCATATATTGGTTCCCAAACAAGTTCACAAGCCCTTTTCTCCTACGAGCTTGCCTTCAAATCCCAAGGGTTCTGTGCGCCACTAAGCCACAACATGCTGGTGTGAAAAGAAAGCTAAACTCAAAGCCAAAATGTAATGCACTCCTATCTATGCCCGGGATGGTTGGTTTGGGATCTATTAGATTCCTCTTCAAAGGACTCTGAAGGTAAAGGTGCCACATGGCAGAAAGCAGCACCCTTTCAGTTCTGCCACATCCTGGCATGTAACATCCAGCACATTCCTTCTCTCTCGGCTTCACAGAGGCCCTTTAATGCTTCCTGGGAAGGAAATATTGGGGAAAAAAAAAAAAAGCATTTGCTGGGAGGAGAAACAAAATTTTTTCTGCACATCCTATTTATTTAAGAAGGTCTGTGAAAAAAAAAAAAAAAAAGGTCTGTGAGCTTAGGAGGACTCCAGGAGACAACACAGGCAACTAGGCCACCTACAACAGGATCTAGGGTAGGAACATTGGCTCAACTGGTCACTAAAGCCACATCTTGCTGATCTAGGATGACTGACCATCCAGCTCACCCAAGATTAAGGGTTCTCCTGGGGTATAGAACTTTCAGTGGTAAAACTGAGTAAGTCCCAGGGAATAACCGACACTGATTTCTTTTCTTTTCCTTCCTCCCCTCCCCTCCCCTCCCCTCCCCTCCCCTTCCCTCCTTTTTTCCTTCCTTCCTTTCCCTCCCTCCCTCCCTCCCTCCCTTCCTTCCTTCCTTCCTTCCTTCTAACTAGTTCTTTCCCCAAGTGTTTCCCCTTGCAAGAGACCCTCTTAAGGTGGGTACACACTGAGTGCCTGCTCTAGTCCATCCACTATTCTGTTCCCAGGAGCTCATAGTCTATTGGAAGAAACCAATCAAATAATAATAATAATAATTATTATTATTATTATTATTATTTTGGTACCAGGGATTGAACTCAGGGGCACTCAACCACTGAGCCACATCCCCAGCCCTATTTTGTATTTTATTTAGAGAAAAGTCTCACTGAATTGCTTAGCCCCTTACCATGGCTGAGGCTGGCTTTGAACTCACAATCCTCCTATCTCAGCCTCCCAGGTCGCTGGGATTACAGGTGTGTGCCACCATGCCTGGCCCCCAATCAAATTATTACACAATGGGTTGGATGCTGGAACAGAGGTTCTTGCACCCAACATTTGTTCCACCTCTTTTTTTTTAAATTCTTTTTAGATATTGTGCCACATCTTCTGATTTTAGTTGGGAACTTTTGTGAAAAACAAACAAAAACCACCAATATCTGTGAACTTCTCCTGTTAAGGTTGAGTGCAACATTATGAGGGGGGAGGGTTTGTTACATTGGTTGTTTGATTTTGTTTTTATTTATTTATTTATTTATTTTAAAGAGAGAGGTGAGAGAGAGAGAGAGAGAGAATTTTTACTATTTATTTTTTTTTTAGTTTTCGGCGGACACAACATCTTTGTTTGTATGTGGTGCTGAGGATCGAACCCGGGCCGCACGAATGCCAGGCGAGCGCGCTACCGCTTGAGCCACATCCCCAGCCCTGATTTTGTTTTTAAACTATCAGTACTCATATTTCATCCAAACCTGGCAAGGAACCAGATATAGATAGACAGACAGATAGATAGATAGATAGATAGATACATAGAGATAGAGATATATGTTTTTTTAAAAAATATTTTGTTTATAAATATGGCAGGTATATCTTTAACAATATCTATTTTTATAAAATAATCAATATAGCTGTGCATGGTGGTGCACATTTGTAATCCCAGCAACTCAGGAAGCTAAGGCAGTAGGATCAGAAGTTCAACCTGGGCACCTTAGCAAGACCCTGTCTCAAAACAAAACCAAACACTGTGGTATAGTGCTCCCGAGTTCAATCCCTAACACCACAAAAATAATAATTATTTTTAAAAATAATCATCACTCAATACATAATTCATTCTTTATTAACTATTACCATCTTCCACTAGACCATATTCAAATTTCCCTAATTGTCTCAAAATGTCTACAGTGGATTTGTTCAAATAAGAAACCAAACAAACTCCATTATATTTGGTTAGTTTGTTTCTTAAAATATTTTCAAATATATAATATTTTTAAATGTATAATTACTCCTCTCCTCTTCCTTCCCCCACCCCCATTTTCATTTTGTTGAAGAAACTGGGTTATTTGTTCCATACCGTCTTCCACGTTCTCTGGATTTGGTTTATTAAATCTCTTGGCATTAATAATGGTGTTTCTCAAGCTTTAACATGCATAAGAATCACCTAGCAATTTTGTTATACCCTAGGTCCTATTCAGTAAGTCTGTGATGAAGCCTGAGAAACAGCATATCATCTCTAACAAGCTTTCAGATATTGCTGATAACTGCTGGTCCAGGGACTATTCTTCAAGCACTTCTCTATCTTCCAAGTATCCTAAAAACTGGCATTAGATTCTAAGCTTGTTCAGACTCAAGTTTTGGTAGTTCTCATTCAGGGCTACTTGACAAAGAGAGCTATGTACTCCCTACTATATCAGATCAGAAGGCACATGACACCTCATGATGATACTTTGGTGATGGTAAGACGGATCAGTTTGTTATGTTATCAGCTTGATCCATTCATTTTAAAGTTTCCTTTTATCCTTTAACCTAACAGTTGGACATTTAATTTTTAAAAAGCTATGTGATTCTAATATATAACCAGGGGTTGAGAACTAGAATAGCCCATACTCAAGCCACATCCACATGAATTAAATCAGAATCTAATAAAAAGCAGGGTGGGGATGTAGCTCAATGGTGGAGTGTCCCAGGATTCAATCTCCAGTACCTCAAAAGTAAATATAACAAAGCACTTCAGGTGTTTCATTGTGTGATCAAGGCTGTAAGCCACTGCTCTAAAACCTAGAGCACTCTAAATTTTAGGAGAAAAAAGCTCCAAGCAAGAGGCAAGCCAAAGTCTTGGCAGGGAAGCAACTATGCAGTACATTCCATGAGAACTGGGCCATATTAGTGTATAGTATTTCCTTTAATTTTTTAGCCCTGAAACTAGTAAAACCTTGTTAAATGTGACAGTTAAGATTTAGCTGGTCCACAGTAATTAAAGGTTCAAAGTCCTAGCTTGAAGTTGGAATTGGATAGAGGAGAAAAGAGCCTCCTAAAGTTAATAACACTAATGGTGGCTCAGTACTGAAGAAGCTAGAATCCTAGGAGGTGGCAACAGAAATATGAATGCCAACAGGCTGCAAGGCTTGTCTGTGGGCAAAAGTGTCAGTGAAAGATGACAGCTATTCCCCCTCTCCTCAATGAGTCCTTATTACTCTGAGCTTTGCTTATTTGGAGCTAAAATATACTTTATGAATTTATTAATATAACAGATGGTAGTTTAATTCAATATGTTCACTTGCCAAAAGAAAAGGTTGAAAAATCTCTACTGTCCTCCAAAAATAATAACAGTGCTAGGGATCAAACCCAGGGCCTCACACAGGCCAGGCAAATGCTCTATCAATTAGCCTCATCCCCAGCCTTCCAAAAAATAGTTTCAGATTTACTGCCTGGGAAATCCCAACATATTGTTGGTGGGATGATTAAATGATTTATTCTCTAAAGAATGCCATAAAAACACCAAGGATGCATTTCTTTAACCATAAATTTCACTTCTAGGAATTATCCTACAAATATCATGCACATGTGTCTAAAGACAAGTATGTTATATATGCAGCATTGCTTATGACAGAAAAATAAAAGGAAGCTATAAACTGTTCATCAGTAGGGAACTAATTAAACAATAATAGTCTATTCATACCATGACATTGGGCAGAGGTAGGGGAAGGTCTCTATTGATAAAAAACAATCTCTTAAGATGTAAGTGAAAAAGCAAAACAATGGCCATTGTATATCATGCAATAGGTTTTTTGTTTTGTTTTTTAAGAAGGAAATCAAGAGAATACAACAAGCTACCAACTGGAAGAAAATATTTGCAAAAGTCCTCTCTGATACTGGATAATTATACAAAATATACAAAGAAGTCTTAAACTCATGATGATAAAACAAACAACCCAATTAACAAATGGGTAAAAAGGTGGGTACAGTGGCACATACCTGTAATCTCAGCTGCTGGGAGGCTGAGGCTAGAGGATTGAAATTTCAAGGCAAGCCTGGGCAATTTAGTGAGATCCTGTCTCAAAATAAAATTTAAAAATATTGGGGATGGGGTTATGGCTCAGCAGTAGAGCACCTGCCTAGCATGTGTGGGGCCCTGGGTTCAAATCTCAGCACCACATAAAAATAAATGAATAAAGGTATTGTGTCCAGCTACAACTAAGAAAATATTTTTAAAAAAATTTAAAGGTTTGGGAATGTAGTTGGGTGGTACAGTGTTTGCCTGGTTCTAACCCCAGTACTGCCAAAAAGACAAGACAAGACAGGGGGAATAGACCTGAATAAACATTTAATCAAAAATAATGTACAGAGGCTAAGATTGTAGATCAGTGGTAAAGCGGTTGCCTAGCACGCATGACACACTAGGTTCAATCCTCAGCACCACCTACAAAAAATAAATAAAGTTATTATGTCTATCTACAACTAAAAATATATTTTTTAAAAAGATGTTCAATGTGTCTCTAGGGAACTGCAAATTAAAACAAGGAATACCAAAACACTGACACCACAATATGCTGACAAGATGTGAAGCAAGAGAAACACTGATTCATTATCAATGCAAATACACAATGTACACTTTGGAAGACAATTTAGCAGTTTGTTTTTATTCTTGTTTTAAACAAAACTAAACACTTAGCTGGGTGTGGTGGCGCACACCTGAAATCCCAGCAGCTTGGGAGGCTGAGGCAGGAGGATGGCAGCCTCAGCAACTTACTGAACCCTAAGCAATTTAGTGAGACCCTGTCTCAAAATAAAGTAAAAATAAAATAAAAAGGGCTAGAATGTAGTTCAGGAGAAAAACACCCCTAGATTCAATCCCCAATACCCAAAATTAATTAACTAGAAGTTTTTTAAGTGAAGAAAATTCTTACATGCAAAAATGTTTCATGTTTAAATTTATATTAATGGCTAACAAGAGCACATGCTATGTGATGGACATTGCAATAAATGGATTAACTAGATTATAAGAAAAAATGGTTGAATGTAAATATCAGAGCAGAAAAATAGGTCACTATATTATAAACAAATCAGTGAATTAGAGGGGAGTTATTAAAATGCAATTGATAAAGTCTGTGGTAATACTGTTAAATCCACATGTTAAACCAAATAACAAGATATTTAGTACAATTATCATTGTTATTTTTAAAAGGGAAGAAAAATGGCTAAACAGAGAAGACTGGAATCAGTACTCTAGATTAGACTATATTTCAAGAGTAAAAGCATATAATTTTAATTTTTCCACACTTCTAATTTTATAAATGTATTTCAATGAGTACACATTAAATTGAAAAAAATATTTTTTTAAAAAATGGTTTTCATAATTTGGCTTCCTCACATATTGTTGGAAAGGTTAAACAATGGAAAATTATCTGTATGTCAGTTTGGTACTATAAAAAGCAAGACTGGGGCTGGGGTTGTGGCTCGATGGCAGAGCACTTGCCTGGCATGTGGGAGGCACTGAGTTTAATCCTCAGCACAGCATATAAATAAATAAAAAATAAAGGTACATCAACAACTAAAACATATTTTTAAAAAATCAGGACTGTATGTGGAATACTAAGATCTAGATTTCAGATACAATTCTGATACTACCTGCTTGACTCTAAACAAGTTAAATACTTTGCTTTTTTACCTTGACTCTGGAGAATGGATAATAACTTCATTAGAGCTGCTTATTTATATTAATGAGCTTAGTGTTGTATAAAACACCATCAAAAGTATCCCTCGGGTTGGGATTGTGGCTCAGTGGTAGAGCACTTGCCTAGCACATGTGAAGCATGGGTTCAATCCTCAACATCAGATAAAAATAAACAAAATAAAGGTATTGTGTCCATCTACAACTTAAAAATTTTTTTTAAAGTATCCTTGATCTCTCTACATGTATGCCTATGAGAGGGGATGAACTGGAGATGGAACCCTGGGGCCACCTGCATGCCAAGCAAATGCTCTACCACAGAGCTATACAACAAGCCTGGGTTCTTTGTGATTTTCCAAAATCATTCTTTGTTGTAAGTGAGGCACTCCTGACCCATTTACATCACCAAGACATTGTTCTCCCTTTTCCTTTGACAAGGTCTCCTGCCCTCCTCTTCCCTTAAAAGACCACTTTCAGTCTTGTGCTCCTAGAATTCACTATTACAGCTACATCCTCACCAACAGATTCTCTATATTCCAACCCTCTCTGTTCTCCTCATGACTTCCCTACCTCTCCCAAACACAAAAGTCCCATAATGTAAGATTTTATTCAGCTACTGTTAGCGAGACTTCCTTCTGCATGAGCAAGAAAAACCTAAGATCTGACATCAAATTAAATTTTATAAGGAGATATCTTTTACAAGGTCCACTAAAATCTCAATTATTTCTTTTATCACTAATTAAATTTGAAGTTTCAGCCACCATACTGTAATCCCAGCAACTGGGGAGGCTGAGGCAAGAGGATACCAAATTTGAGGCCAGCCTAAACAATTTAGCAATGCCCTAAGCAACATAATGAGACTGTGTCTCAAAATAAAAAATAAAAAGGGCAGGGAATGTGGTACAGTGATTAAGTAACCCTAAATTCAATCCTGGTCCCCCCCGCCAAAAAAATCTGAAATTTCTCAAGGACAATTAAATTGTAAATGCGTACTTATATCCAGACATTATGGTTTAAATAAACTACTGTAAAATAAAAGGAAATCACAGACCATTACAAAAATGATCTTAATACACAAGCCAGGTGCTATGGTACATGCTTGTAATTACAGTGACTCAGAGGCAGAGGCAGGATGATCACTAGGTTCATGGCCAACCTCAGGAATTTAGCATGACCCTATCTCATAAATAAAATTAAAAGGGTTACAGATGTAGCTCAGTGGGTACAGTGCCCCTGGGTTCAATTCTCACTACTACAAAAAGAAAAAAATTAAAATACCTTATGAGAACCAAAAATAAACTAATGCTGATTTGCTAGTTCTTAATAGGCATATTTAGATATTTTTATAGACTTTTAGAACATCTGTAAAACAACTAATGGACATTAATTCTCATCTGCAATTTATTTTATTCTTAAGACAACCCTATGAATTATCTGCATTTTTCTTTTCGGGGTAAGAACGGGGAAGCTAAGGCTTGGAGAGGATCAGATCACAATCCATTAAGTGGCAGAGATGGCATCAAATTCAAGACTTGTTCTGAGGTCTATTTTATTAATTTTTAGGACACAACATCTCTAGTTCAAAATATAAAATATTTATGACAATTACTAAGTCTTAAACTCCCAGGAATTCATAAAGATAAAAGGCATTTCATATAAATCTTTTCACATTCATTTCATTCCAAGTTTTAATCTCCAGCATGAAGCCTCTGATGTCGAACAAGCGCTGAACTGTGCCTACATTCAGTGCATTCATAAGGATTTTCTCCAGTATGAATTCTGTAATGCTCACTGAGGTGTGCTTGTTTGCGAAAAGTTTTATCACACTCACTACACTTATAAAGTTTTTCTCCAGTGTGAGTTCTTTCATGTACATCAAGGAAGGAGTTCTGAGTGAAGGCTTTTCCACACGTGGTACATGTGTAGGGCTTCTCCCCTGAATGAACCGTCTGATGCTGCATGAGGCATGTGCTCTGATTGAAAGCTTTCCCACATTTATTACACTTGTAAGGCTTATCTCCAGAATGGCTTCTCTGATGATGAGTGAGGCATATGCTCTGACTGAAAGCTTTGCCACATTCCATGCATTTATATGGTTTCTCTCCAGTATGAATTCGTTGGTGTTTAATAAGGGATGGGCTCTGACAAAAGGTTTTCCCACATTCATTGCATTTATAGGGTCTCTCTCCAGTATGAATTCTCAGATGCTGGACAAGGACTGCTTTTGTTTGAAAAGCTTTCTCACATTCATTACATTTATAAGGTTTCTCTCCCATATGAATTCTCAAATGTTGAGTGAGATTTGACTGTTTAAGGAAACATATTCCACATTCACTACACACATAGGGCTTCTCTCCTGTGTGAATCTTATGATGCTGGAGAAGAGATGATCTCTGAGTAAAGAATTTTCCACACTCACTACATTTTGAAGATTTCTTCTGCATGTTACCACTTCATTGTTTCATTTGGAGTGAAATCTGGCTAGAACTTGTGCTGTCTGTAACACATTGAAAGAGCTTCTGTCTAAATAGGTTTAGAGTTAGATGAAACCTCTTAAAATTCATACTTAGGAGGTATCTTCTTAAAGATGGTTGTCACTAGAGGAATATTGTTCCCAGTGAAAGTGGTGTGATTGTGTGTGTGCACACAAACATGTGCACATGTTGTCCTCTCTGTAGTTCCTATAGGATTTCCCGCTTTCCTGGAGCATGTATTTTCAACTTTTCCAAAGTCAGTCCCTGACAACCAGCTTGTCTGAAGAAAGAAAAGAAGTAGTGACAAACATTAGGAATCAAATTTTCTATCATAATTGATAGAGCATAACTGATGGAACATAAATTCTGAAGCAATCGAATGCTAGCAACTAATCCAGGTAATCTGGGATCATCTAGGTTTGCATCTATAATGATAAATAGTACAAAATGTGAAAGAAATAAGTATCTTGGACTTGGGAAAATTAAATGTGGAGGAAATTTGTTGTCCACCTACTTCTCAAAATAGGTGAATAGTTATTATATTTCCTATAAAGAATATTTTGGCAGAATAGTAATAACTAAAGTTTCCGTTCCAAGATTTCAAAGGGCATCCATGCTGTAACTTTCACTAGAACCATCTTACAAATTTTTTCTTATTCACTTGCCTTGTCAGGTATGTCGTTGAACCCCTTTCTGTGCAAAATGTTCAGGTAGTTTTTCCCCTATCTCCAATTGAGAAATCTATAGGTTTGAAAATTAGAGTCCTGCTTACTGAAAGAATATAACATTGTTTTCATTCAGGAAAGTGAGACAAAGGTCATTAGGAAGAAGTCAGGACAGTAACCTGAATATAGCAACAGGGCACAGGGTCTGGCTCTCACCGTTGTAGCCAAAGAAATGCTCTAGAATTTGAGATACACTAATTATATTTACAAGAGGAAATATGTAGAAAACAAAGTCCCTTTGTTAATTTAAACTGAAAACTTTTTATGCTCAATGTCCTACTGGTTAACACAGTCACTTCACTCTAGAAAAAAATCATATGGGAACCAAATCATTGTCATTAGAATGCTCCCAGAGAAGCACCGAATTGGAGGAAAAAAGGAGTACTCAGATGAGTGTAATGGCATCAAATGCCAAAACCATGATGTTGGAATAAGGGCACGGAGAACAAGAGAGTGGATACTCGGCGGGTATACATCACAGCAACTGCTTCTCTGGATGCACTGTAGACACTGGCATATTCTTGTTTTCTGAGGCTCCTTGCTATCTTGGTTTTCTATTCACATGTTATGCATGAATATATCTTTATTTTAATATTTAGGAAGAAATCAAATTATCAATATTTTAAGATGATATAATCCTATACTTATCAAGATCCCAAAACTTCTACCAAAGGACCTCTAGAACTGATAGACAAATTTAGCAAAGTAGCAGGATACAAAAGCAACATACAAAAATCAATGAATCTGCTGACAAAGAAATCAGGAAAGTAATTCCATTTATACTATAGCTTCAAAACAAACATCATATGAATATATTTAATTAAAAAGGTAAAAGACCTTTAACAACAAAAATTAGAGAACACTGAAAAAAGAACTGTAAAACATTAGAAGATGCAAAGTCCACCCAGGTTCCTGGATAGGCAGAATTAATATAGTTCAAATGGTCATTAGCAAAAGTGTTCTACAAATTCAATGCAATTCCCATCAAAATATCAATAACATTCTTCATAAATCTTATAAGAAAACAGTTCTAAAATTCATATGGAAGAACAAAAGAGCCAGTATAGTCAAAGCAATTCTGAGCAAAAAGATCAATGCTGGAGGCATCACAATACCCAATTTCAAATTATAATACACAGCTATTGTAACTTAAATAGCATGGCACCAACATAAAATAGACTCAGAGAAAATTAAAAAAATAGAAGACACAAAGACAAACACACATAGCTACATTCATATGATCCTTGACAAAGTCACCAAAAATATGCTGGAGAAAAGAGAGCTTTTTATCAAATGGTACTGGGACAACTGGATAGCCACATGTACAAGAATGAAACTAGATCCCTGTCTCACACCCTACATAAAAGTCAACTCAAAATGGATTTAAAAACCTAGGAAATATGTTAAAAACTTTGCAATTGCTAGAACAAAACATAAGGAAACACTCCAACATATAGGTTCAGAGAACAACAACTTCCTCATTAGGACTTCTAAAGCTAAGGAAATAATGCCAAAAATTAGAAATGGGTCAGCATTATGTTAAAATGTTTCTGTACAGCAAAGGAAACAATTAATAGCATAAAGATAACCAGGTGTGGTAGCACACATATGTAATCCCACTGATCGAAAGTTCAAGGCCAGACTCAGCAATTTATCAAGGCTCTAAGTCACTTAGTGAGACCATTTCAAAATAAAAAATAAAATTTGGGGGGGGGGTTGTGGCTCAATAGTAACATGCCCCTGGGTTTTTTTGATACAAAAAAAAACATGAAGAAAGCCTACAGATGGAAGAAAATCTTTTCCAGCTTCTCCTCTGACAGATGGTTAATATCCAGATTATATAAATAATTTTTAAAGCTTACCCCAAAAAGAAAAATAATAAAATAAACAGGCAAATGAACTAAGCATACATTTCTCAAAAGAAGTAGTAAAAATGGCCAACAAATATATGAAAAAATGTTTAGAATCTCTAGCAACGAGGCAAATGCAAATCAAAACTGCAACTGAGGCCTGGAATAGTAACACATGTCTGTAACCCTAGACTCAGGAGGCTAAGGTAGGAAGATTGAAAGTTCGAGGGCATCCTCAACTTTTAGGGAGACCCTGTCTCAACATAAAAATCTACAAAATGGGATGAGGATATAGCTCAGTGGAAAGGTTCCCAGGATCCACTCTCCAGTACCACAAAATAGAAACAAACAAACAAACAAAAAACATATTACATGAGATTTCTTCTCACTCCAATTAGAATGGCAATTATCAAGAATACAAATAATAACAAATACTAGGAAGGATGCAGGGGAAAAAGAAACTCTTACACACTGTTGGAGGGACTTTAAATTAGTATAACCACTATGGATATTGTGCAGAAGTTCTTCAAAAGACTAGGAATGGAACCACCATATAACCCAGCTATACCATTATCCAGTATTTATTGAAGAGTTAAAGTCAGCATACTATACTGATACAAGTATGCCCAAGTTTATAGCAGTTATAGAATCAGTCCAAGTATCTAGTAACAGATGAATGAACACAGAAAATGTAGACTAGGACTGGAAACACCAGATAACCCAGCTATACCATTACCGAATATTTATTGAAGAGTTAAGTCAGCATACTGTACTGATACAAGTATGCCCAAGTTTATAGCAGTTACAGAATCAGCCCAGGTATCTAGTAACAGATGAATGAACACAGAAAATGTATGTGTGTGTACACACACACACACACACACACACAGAGTTTTAGTCAGCTATCAAGAAGAAAAAAATTGTCATTTTCAGGAAAATGAAACCAAAAAGCATCTTGTTGAATGAAATAAGCCATATTCAGAAAGTCAAGGGTTATACGTATGTTCTCATATGTAAAAACTATGGAATAAAAAGGGGGGAAAGGGGATCCCATAAAATTATAAGGGAGGGCAAAGAAAGGGTATCAGGGAGAGAAAGGAGGTAAGGAAAAGGGAGTAATAATAGGGAATGAAACTGACTAAATTAAGTACATGTATGAATGTCACAATAAATCCCAATATTATGTGTCAATTTAAAAATACATGTGTACCAGATAAAAGAGTCATTTTATAGCTATTACCCCCACCCCACCCTACCTAAACAAACTCATTCCCTTTCTCTGATATTATAAAGTTTTGGAGTATATTCTTCCATTGCTTTTTCTACATATTTTTCTACACACAAATAGCAATTGATGCTTTTTACATAAAAAAAATTGTTCCCTAAGTCTTTCTCTACAATTTGCTTCATTACTATCTGAGGAGAGTAGCACAATGATAAAAGTTGGGCTAATGAGTAGATTTTTTTTGGTTTTTTTTTTTTTGGTGCTGAGGATTGAACTTAGGGGCATTCTACTGAGCCACATACACAGCCCTATTTCACATTTTATTTAGAGACAGGGTCTCACTGAGTTGCTTAGCACCTCACTGTTGCTGAGACTGGTTTTGAACTCGTGGTCCTCCTGCCTCAGATTCCTGAGCCACTGGGAATATAGGCGTGCACCCAACTTAAGTGAACTTTTGAAAGGCAGCAAGAGGAATGCACGAAGGCAGCAGGTGCTACTTAAGGACTTAAGCATCCTTGAATAAAAATCCCTCCACAGAAGAAAAGGCTAGAAAACAAAGGCTAACCAAGCATAATGGAAAAGCAGCTGACTTCAGGTCATACTGTAGGGCTAAAGTAGAGAGCAGTGGGACATGCAACAGACTCAAGAGGTCTGGATTTTAGTCTTAGTTCTGCCCTTGATTTGTTCAATGACTTGCTGCAAGTCACTTAGCCTCATTTGTGATTTTTTTTCTTATCTGTGAAATTAAAAATTGATAATAGCTAAAGTAGCTTATAATACCAAAATTCTTTGACTCTAAAACAGAAGGCAAAAATGAAAAAAACCTAAAACCAAGCCCTTCCAATCCATCTTTGATTGAAGTTGCTTGTTCCTTTATTTGAAAACCACTAATCGAGCAAGCAATGATGAGGAAAGTTCTTAGGAGTGGCTGGAATCAGCTGAGTGCTGTGGCACATTCCTATAACGGTAGGAACTTGAGTCCCTAAGGCAAGGGGATCACAAATTGGAGACCAATCTCAGCAACTTTGTGGGGAGCCTCTCTGAATGACCACATGCCCCCCAGTCCTGAAGTAGGGGGCTCTGACCAATCACTACATATCATGATGATTTGGGCATTGTCCCAGCTCTGATAGAGAGGCAGGCCTTCAGGTGGAGGTGTTAACCACAAGGGCTGAGTTACACTCACCTGTCCCTTGTAACCCTGCCCCTTCTGGCCTTCTTTGGATACAACTTTCTAAGAACAAGAGACCCCCCAGTAAAAGCTCACTTCCAAACATGCTCACTTTCTCTCACCAGCCTCTGGTGACTTCCTCTTGCTCTTCCTCTTGGGGAGCCTAAGGCTGAGAGTGGAGAAGCTGTCCTGAAGCTTGTGTAAAGGTAAATTGTGTCTGTGTTTTATCTTAAGTTCTACTGCCTGCACAGGTCAGGGGCAGCCCAACTTAGCAAAATAAAAAGCGCTAAGGATGAGGATGTAGTTCGGTGGTAATGTGCCCTGGGGTTCAATTCCTAATACCACTGCCCCAACACACACACACACACACATACAAGTGGCCCGAGTCAACAGCAGGGAAACTTCCTTTTCCATTATTCTCCCATAATTGCAGGATGCAAAAATTTCTGGAAACAGAAATGTCTCTCTTCCGACACACAAGAGAGTCTGTTGGAACTCCTCCTAAGGGAAAGGATTTTAAAGCCCTACTAGAACACCTATTAAAAGACAGGGACCTCATGGGGGTAGGAAAGAAGATGGAATGACATGAACATCACAAGCCCACTTCAACTTCTCTCGTCCCTATTTAAGAAGCTGGAGACACAAATGGTGTGAATATACCTTGTACAACCAGAGATATGAAAATTTGTACTCTATGTGTAGTGTGAGTTGTAATGCATTCTGCTGCCATATATAACAAATTAGAATAAAAAATTTATTTTAAAAATTTTAAAAAGGTCACAGAAAAAAAACACCTATGATCACCTTGATCTTGGGTTTCCAGCTTCAATAAAAGTGAAAAAAAAATAATAAAGACAGGGACCTGATTTTCAGTGTAAAATTCGCCCAAATCCACTAGCACCTCTTATCTGACACTGAAAAAAAATTAAGTTTCAAATTTCTGGTTACACTCTAATATCCAGCTTAAATAACCACAATTCTTTCTCGTGGAAAATTTGACTCTTTGAAGGCCCTCCCTTCTCTACATTCTTAAATAATTTAATATGTCTCTACTATAATACTTCCTAATCTAATACGGATCACCTCTTTTCAACTAACCTTGAAGAGAAGAACAATATGTGATCTAGTTTTTTTCAACTATTAAATGAAGATGGCGATAACAATACTTTATAGAATTCTGGTGATGAATAAATGAGTTAATACTTGGGAAAGAGAACAATGCCGGTTTGTAAGCATTCAGAAAGCGGTAACTGCTCTTCAGTTACTACTGAATCTGTCTTCGTGGAGTACCTATTCCGCTGCTCCAAATATTCGACACGCACATCGCTGTGAACTGGCAGAGCAAATCATGTTTTTACTTAGGGAATTAAGTGTATACTTAGGGAATTTTTTTTTTTTTTTTTTTAATATAAGAGCTCGGAAGTTGCCTCTAGGCAGGCTTAAGTACGTACAGATGAAAGCCAGGATCCGACTTCCGGCCAGGTGCTCTGAAGGCCTCCTCCCGCCTTCCTCACCGCAAGCGGACTTGGTCATGGTGGGGGAAGCTTACGGTTAGCGGCCCAGGACTGACCCCGCTGCAGCGGACAGCCGAAACTACTCGCCGCCACGCTGGTCACCCGAACTCCCCAGCTGCCGGAAGTCATCCCACGACCCTCCCCCGGAGCGACGTCACCATCCCGCGCCATTTCCGCTCTGGAAGAACGCGGCGAGTTCCGGCCTATGGTTCTTCCCGACGGAGCCTCGGGTTCCGTGCTCTGCCCTTGAGTCACGGCTCCGAGAACAGCCCAGAAGCCCACTTCAACTTCTCGCGTCCCTGTTTAAGAAGCTGAACGGAGGAGAACACGGAGATGGACCACAAGAGGCTCTTACTGCATCATTTCACCCTGCAATCCTGTCACATGTCTGCCTACATCACCGTCGTCTAGGGATTCTCCTGACTTTCTCCTAGCTGTCTTCAGTTTTCCTCACATGTAGTCTCACCTGCCAGAAAGTAGGAACCCCAAGCATCTTACTGGTTAGTTTATTTAATAAGGGCTCTGCTTTGCTTTGGGCTTAAATCCCAGGTTTTCGGTGTGTAAACAGGAGGCAAGTTAGTTTGTATTTCTTTGCCTGCTTCCTCATTTATAAAACAACAATGGCAGCAAATTCAGAGTTGTCGCGAGAATTAACGATTAATACATGTAAATTACAAGAACATCTGGCACTTAACTACCACCTTTCTCAAGTCCCTTCTCCATTCCGTTGTTCTGCCTTGGCGTCAGTGACCTTTCCAACCCCCCAAAATAGCATTCCCATTTTCTTCAGCAAACCTTCAGATCTTGATGGTGCTCATTCAGAAAATATTTGCACACATGGGCTCATCCTCACATGTATCCCAGTGATGGAATTTATGGGTCGCAGAACAACTGATTCACTTCCATGCAAATGCGCAGAACAGTGTTGTATCATATCCATAGTGTGCAGAATATGGTATTGAACTTAATAAACACCAAAATAAATGAATGTGATGCAGCAAAGAAGATATGTTGAAATTCCAGACGCCCAAACAGAGCCCTTTTAGAAGACTGAAATTAAGAGTGGAGGCCGGGTGGGGCGCATGCCTGTAATCCCAGCAGCTCGGGACACTGAGACAGAAGGATTGTGTCTTAGCAATGGCAAGGCACTTAACAACTCAGTGAGACCCTGTCTCTAAATAAAATAAAAAATAGGGCTGGGGATGTGGCTCAGTGGTTGAGTGCCCCTGAGTTCAATCCCCAGCACCAAAAAGAAAAAAATCGTGGAGGTGCTACAGACTGAGGCCACCACTAATTCTCTCAGGTAAAAGGAGACCCTCTGTAGAACTGTCAAGCACTCCTAGTATTTTATCAAGTGTCAACATTCTCAGCACTTTGGTATGGCAGAGCAAGTTCTTCCCCACAGTCCTAATATGCCATAGGCAAGAAAGCCCGGGTCTGGTCACTTTTCACTTATCTTTTGGGCTTCAAAGAATCTAAATCAGCAGGCTCCTCTGTATGGAAATTAAGCCTGTAGTGGGGCACACTCAATTGAGCAGTACATTAGAATCAGTATTCTAGGGCTTAAAAGCATTTGGGGCTGAACTTCTTTTAATGAGGTGAGAAAAGGATGGTAAAGATGGATGCCAAAAATATTCCACCCAATTAAAAAAAACCCTGGCCCTGATGTGGCCATAGGATGCAGGGAAATGAAACTGTGTCATCTAGTCAAGGCTAGGAGTTTTGCCTTATGTGGCAAGTAGGGAGGGGTTAAATGCAAAATCAAATTTGGAGGGCAAAAACTGCTGATCTTATAGAGTGAGTTTCTCCTATCCTCCAGATGAGGGGATAGGATGGAGCCCTCAGTGGCCAGTTACCTAATGGATAAAATAAAGAGGTATATGGAACAGAGGTAAGACAAAGAGAAATGTGAATGAAAAAAGGACACTGCAATTTTACATTTACATGACACTGCTTATGTAGCTTTGGGAAAGGCCAATTGCATATTTTATCTTCTGTTGTTCAAAGGATTTGATGTAGCCCCATCCTTCTGAAGTCATTAAATTTTAAAGAACTAAGAATAAGCAAGAAAATCTATCTATCATCCTAAAGACCTAGACAAGCCATGAGCTCCAGAAACACTTCTACTTTGGGATTTCTCAATTACAAGTGCTCTCATACCAGACCAGCATTACTCTTCAGTTCCTGTTTACCTTTTTAGTTCATGGATATTACAGATGATGTACGTGTCTCTCCATCTACATACATTCTTTTTTCTTGTGATAGAACTTTATTTAATTTGTAATAAACTTCCTTGGCTGCAAACTATTCTTATTATGGAGTCCTCTACATAATTCAAAATTCAAATTATATATATATATTATATTATATTATAATATTATATATAGAGAGAGAGGTCAGAATTCTTGCTCATGGCAAACACTTAAAAGACACATACACTCACATTATCTCCTTTCTGCTGATACATAGGGACTTAAGTTACAATGGGCAGACTGGCTGGAGAAATGTCTAACTCAGTATTTTGGTTGAACTCAACAAGTATTTACTGAGTAATTTTCAAGTGCCAGTTACTGTGGATACAAAGATGAATATCACATTGCCTGAGCCCTGGTGGACTGTACAGTTCAGTGGGAAAAGAAAGGTTTGTAAACAACCCATTATCATGTAAGATGACAAAACGATAAAAAGTATAGAATACAGAATAAAAATTGTGAGGTTAGAGGCAGTTTTATGTTGTCACTTGAGCACATTGATGAATAATGCATACAAACTCTCCAGGAAAGCCAAAGCAAGAAAGGGAGGCAACAGAAATATTATATGCAAGAATGTACCAGATTACAGTGGCAATGCTGCAGAACTAAAGAAATCTGCACCATCAAGCAGAATGTACTGGACAACAAATGGCAGCTGAGGATGGAGACGTAGTCATGAGATGAATGAGCAGCCTCAGATGTTTCTTTAGAGGGCTAGGACTTTATTCTAAGAGAAATTAATAAGGCATACAATTAGGATTAGAAAAATCATCTAGAAGAAAAATGAAAGATGGCTTTGTGGTGGTAGAAATTGAAAGACTATTTAGAAAAACTGAAAATAGTCTCAAAAATAACCTGGAGAACTAGACTAAAGGGAGATGGCTTCTAGATTTAGGACATAATGTCAACAGGAGTTGGACTAATATGAAAACTGAATAAAAGAAAAGGTTGAAGGGGATGGCAATTTTTAGGTTTAGGGACACACTGAAAAGACAAGGCACATTTAAGGGCCAACAACTGAAAATAAAATTAGGGGCAGTTATGTGTAAATGTGAGAATATGGGCTGAGGGCAGTGGAAAGATGATGAAATCTTTTTCTATTTCCCCATGAAATAAAAATGTGCAGACTATAATTGTCCAAAGACTAAATATTCAAGGTCATATCCATTCCATTTTAGAAAATCTTTTTCACCAGAATTTAAAATATAAGAATATATATAATTAATATAATAATTTACCAAATATTTAATAAACTATGTACCAGCATTACTTCTATAGTGTTATTTTTCATTTAGGAAGTATAAACACATTGATATTTACTTTCAGTAAAATATATATTTTCATGAGCATAAAATATTCAGAAATATTTCATAGGGTTATTTTTTTGCAAACAAGGTATTAATTTCCTCAATTATGATTTCATCTGTTGTAGGTCTTCAGAACATAAACTTCACAGCTAGAGAGGAAAAAGCAAATATGTTACTTGTATCACATTCCTATTAACAGTTATGAATGGTTACACTGATGCTTGCAAGACAGAAGTTCTGGATATATCTGCAGTTACAAATAACTAAGCATTCCAGAATCAACTTACTTTAGGTGATTTTTATATTCATATTTTAAAAATTATATAAGCTTCAGAACTTAGGAAATTATTTCAAATACTGCTCAAAGTCCTTAATCTTATGGAGCTCAATTTCTGGGTGGCAGTTAAGTACATGAAAGGGACTGAGGAAATAATGGGTAAACTGTAATTTCAGCAATAAACTGTTATTTTGATTTACAGGGATTTAGAATTCTTTCCAAATTCATTGACAAATTCCAACACTCTATTAAGGACTAGCCCAGGAGTCTGAAACTCCAGCCAGCATAAAAGGCTGTCTTCTTTCATCACTAAAGCTTTCTCCTAAAGGCCAATACCCAAGTCCCTTTTGTTAGTCATAGTGGGTCCCTCTACACTAGTTCCTGTGAACCAGTGGCCTAGCCAAACTTTTAACACAGAGATGTACTCCTTAGGACAAGCAAGGTTATATATACATATATGGCTTCCTCAGACACATTCAGGCTTTCTATTCTGAAGCCTCTTATCACTATTAGTCCACAACAGACCACTTCTCTCCTAAACTAGTATTCTTCTGTGACAGAAGTTGGATTTTCCTTTCCCTTCCCCTGAGCAGACCTGTCTTTCAATAAAATGGCAAACTCTCTTTGTCTTCTATTTTCTTCTTAGCTTCATGTCACCCACAGGCTTAAAAGCATCAGAAAGATCTTTCTCACCCCAATGAATGTCATCTTCAACAGAACATCTGTACAGATCAGCCCAGTTTTGGCCACATCCTGTTATTTGGTTGAATGAATGAATATAGGTTCTTTTTTTTCCCCCACTTGTTTCTGTATCCCACTCACAGGACTACTTCTACAGATCAGGGAGCCTCCCTATCATGGAATGGTCACAGCTGCCTCAAACATCTGGAAGTTAAACCTCAGAACTATATCAGATTGCTGTCACTTCCACATCAGCCACTGTACTTAGGTGACAAAGTCAGAAGGCTGGGTGGAGTATGGTAAAGGAAACACAAGTGCTAACTTAACAAATGTCTGCCCTTTTGGTGTAGTCATATGGAGAGAGGAGTGGTAATCTGCCAGCTTTATCTGAAAAACTGTTTTTTCCTTTTTACCCAGTATTCCAAGATGTCCACCTGGAGTAAGTTCTGCATCCTCCAGGTTCCCACTTCCACGTGAGAAGAGCAGCCAAGTCTCATCTTCCCTATGTGCCCCTCTCCTCCCAGCCAGATTCTTGGGTACTCTTTCTAGAGAAACCATCATAAGCTAAATGCCAGGATTAATCACCACTGTGAAGTTTCTGATGTCTGAAAAGGACTGAACTATGTCTGAAGAATTTTCCACATTTGATGCATTCATATGGCTTCTCACCAGTGTGAATTCTGTAGTGTTCACTAAGGTGTGCATATTTGCGAAAGGTTTTTTCACATTCACTACATTTATAGAGCTTCTCACCAGTGTGAGTCCTATGATGTTCCGTAAGAGATGAGCTATGAGCAAAGGCCTTCCCACATTCTTTACATTTATAGGGCTTCTCCCCAGTATGAATTCTCATATGCTGAGTGAGGCAGGTATTCTGATTAAAGCCCTTGCCACATTCCTTACATTTATAGGGTTTTTCTCCAGTGTGACTTCTCTGATGCCGAATAAGGCAAATGCTCTGGATGAAGGCTTTGCCACATTCGCTGCATTTGTAGGGTCTTTCCCCTGTATGAATTCTCTGATGCTTAGTGAGAGGGGTGCTCTGAGTAAAAGCTTTGCCACATTCCTTACATTTATAGGGTTTTTCTCCTGTATGAATTCGCTGGTGTTTAATAAGAGATGGACTCTGGCAAAAGGTTTTACCACACTCCTTACATTTATAGGGTTTTTCTCCAGTATGAATTCTCTGGTGCTGAGAGAGGTTTGCCTTTGTTTGAAAGGTTTTCCCACATTCATCACACTTATGTGGCTTTTCCCCAGTGTGAATTCGCTGATGTTGCATAAGATTTGAGTGTTTACGAAAAGAAGAGCCACATTCATTACATAAATAAGGTTTCTCACCTGTGTGAATTCTCTGATGATGTATAAGGTGTGTATTCTGACTGAATGCCTTTCCACATCTATTACACTTATAGGGTTTTTCTCCGGTGTGAATTCTCTGATGTTCAGTAAGATGTGAATGATTGCGGAAAGAATTCCCACATTGATTACATTTGTAAGGTTTCTCTCCAGTGTGGATTCTCTGATGCTGAGTAAGAAATGATCGACATCGAAAGGCCTTCCCACATTGCTCACATCCATATGGTTTCACTCCAGTGTGAATTCTTTGATGTTGAACAAGGAATGAGCTACGACTAAAAGCTTTCCCACACTCTTTGCATGCATAGGGTCTCTCTCCAGTATGAGTTCTCTGATGTTGGGTAAGGGATGAGCTCTGAGTGAAGTTTTTTCCACATTCCTGACATAGCCAAGATTTTTTCTGTGTGGAGAGAGTTGAACACTTACTATGGTCTGAAATCTCACTTGTATGTATATTACATGTTTCCCACTGCTGCAGACTGTCTTCTGTAGAAACCCTGAGATGTGTAACAAGGCTTGAGGTCAAAAGCAAGCTTTTCTCAAAATTATATTCTTGACTAAACATTTCAGGGGATGCTTCTCCGTGGATAAAGTTTATTCCCCCAAAACCTCCTGGCCCAGGAGCCTCTTCCCAAGAATTTTCCTTTATGTCCTCACTGGCATATTTTTCTTCCAACATAGAACCCTGCTGTTCATCCTCTTGGAATCTCTTTGCTATTCTCCCTGGTGGATCAATTTGAACAACACCCTGCTTTGCAACAGGTTTGTTCTTCCAACCTAAAAGAAATCACCACAGTAAATATCTCTTTGTGTCTGACAGAGCTGGTCGCTGAAACTGTGGGACCCCAACTTTCACAGGTCTCAGTAATGGCCTATGAGTATAGAATAATAAAAGCAAGCATGGCAAATAAGTCAGAGTTGGTAGAGATCTACATTAGGGTAATGTGATCACCACTGATGAGGAACCTCATGGAATGGGCAGCAAGGCACCTGTGAAGTGAGTCAATCACAGGCAAGAGTAAAAATGGAAAATAACAGACACTGCAGAGGCTGAGATTAAACCAAAATGGGTAATGTGGATGGGTTTTATTCAAAAAGTGGATAATGGGAGAATTTTAAAAGGCAAATGCTGGAAATGATAAAGATTTATTGAGTACCAGGAAAAAGGTGGCCCTGGAGATGCTCATCCATACCTGTTCCCAACATTCCTGTGAGAGAGAGTAATTTTATCTCCTGAGCATTAATCTATTTCTCTTCTAAAATTTTCAAACCCTTCCTACTGGGTGGCTATGTCTCATACATTGTCCTATACTCACTCACCTGAACAAGTGTCTCTTTCAGTAGCTTTCTCTTCAGCTCCTTGCATATTCAACAACCACAAATCTTCTCCTTGCTTTGATTAGAAAAGACTTCAGGCTTGGAAAACCACCAACCCTGCTCATGGGGGGAAAATGGTTCCGTTGGCAGATATCATTTTCCCAGCAAACAGAAAAATGAATAACAATTGTTGTTTGGGGAAACTAATAACACACACAATACCTCTCAGGATAGCAGTGTGACTATTTCAGCAAAAATTGGGGTTGGCATGCAGCCATCTAGGTTCACAAACACCATTTTTCAGCTGTTCAGGAAGTGGTAGACTCAGACAGACTGTCCAATGCTCAAGCACTTGATGAATAAATCCAAATGTTATTTTTTACCTTAAATTATAAAGACAAAGATTAGACAGATATGAATATTCATGTCACTTAGTGCTCTCTGTTCATTATACAATAATCTTTACTAAAAGTCAGTTAATATAATCATAAGCTGCACAGGAAAATGGCTTCATGCAAAGCCTAATGCATTAGATCTGTTTCATTAATTTCCACCATATGTCAATTAACCTGGATCATGCCTAGGGATCTCTAATGCAAACTAAAAATATGCTGATTGTCCTTTCTTCTAGATGTTATATCAATGAAACAATTTTTTATTCAAGCAGGCAGCTCAATATGAGCACATAACGATCTTTATTTTATTTTTATGTGGTGCTGTGGATCGAAAACCAGTGCCCCGCGCATGCCAGGCGACAGCCTTACCACTTGAGCCACATCCCCAGCCCCCTCAATATGAGCACATAAGTTGCTCTTTAAAAGAAAAAAAAAAAAACTTTAATTGTGAAATTCCTGTTTTGAGTTTTGAATGTTTTTTTTTTTTTTAAAGAGAGAGAGAGGGAGAGGGAGAGGGAGAGAGAGAATTTTAATATTTTTTTTTTAGTTATTGGCAGACACAACATCTTTGTTTTGTATGTGGTGCTGAGGATCGAACCTGGGCCGCACGCATGCCAGGCGAGTGCACAACCACTTGAGCCACATCCCTAGCCCGAGTTTTGAATGTTCTTAAGAAGATCATTTGTAGGCTTTCCTGGTTCTCTTTCAGAGGAGGAACATAACAGGGCACACAATCCTAAAGAGGTATCACACAATCCTAAAGAAACTCAAACAGCAGAGTAGAATTTGAGAGTAATCAGTGCTAGACACTGAGGGGTTTGGGGGAATAGTCAAATAATGCCCTTGCCAGTCTTGAACTTGTTATCATATCTAAACAAAGAAAATTAAATCAATAATTTCAAAAAAGGGAATTAACAAAAGTGAAAGTATAGGGTACTATGGAATATAGGAAATATAGGAATATAGGAAACCAAGCCTCTGTTAAAGAGACAAATAGGAACTAGACAGGAGTATACTATATTTACTAATATAGTAAATAAACTATATCTGAAACTAAACATAAGATTCCTAAGGAATCAAGCACAAAACTTTGAAAGAATGAAAAATACTCAGTACAGCTAAACTGTTATGCACTAGAAATCAGATAGAAAGCCTTAGGGCAAGGAAAGCCCAGATCAAACAGAATCCTGCAAACCATTTAAGGATTTAACCCTAAAGTGAAGAGAAAGTCACAAAAGATTTGATAAAATATATGATTCAATCTACTATTGTATAAAAACATTCCTCTGCCCACAGCATGGAAAGAGTGCATGCAAAGGGTAGAGGGTGGGAGTGCATGGCTGCGAGTCTCTGTGAGGCTGTTTGAATATGCAGAAAGGGCACCGGACAAACTATAAGACAGAATCATCAGGACTGGATGAGTATTGTGGGAAGGAGGTGAGAAAGATAAGTCAAGAATAATTGGCAAGTTTATGGCTTCAATGATGATAGTGACATACAGTGAAGTGGGAACACTGAACTGGGGAAGAAAAAGATACATTTAGTTTTGAAATGTCTGAAGGAAAAGTAAAACATATCTGGAATAGAGGAGAGAGGTATGAGCTAAACACTTAACACTGAGAGTGTTCTTTGTTTTGTTTGGTGGTGCTGGGGATCAAACTCAGGGCCTTACACACACTAGGCATATACTTCAACACTGAACACCCCCAGCCCCCTAGAGTTTTTGACATAGAGTAACTGAAATCATGAAAGTAAAGCACAAAATGCCTGCATTCTCTCACCTAGTAATTCTATTACTAGAACTTTCTCATAGAGAAGTTCTCAGAGGAAAACAAAAACTGGAATTTTGTTTCATGTAAAAAAATATCCCCTGCAATGTTGTTGGAGATAATTTTTCTGTTGGTAGACATTGAAGCTTAGCAAATTATGGTACTTCCACTTAGTGGAAATTATAGAAACATAGCAGTAATTAAAACGAAAATATGGACAATTTGGAAAACTACTTATGCAAATATATAAATTAAAATGCAGAATATTAAAATTTCTTCTTGATCTTATTCACACTGATCTTTTTAACAAACATATATGAAGCAAACATATGAAATATGTTTGTTTGGTGAATGTGAATAAGATCAAGAAGGAAAAATAATTACTGTAGTGATACTGAAGTATAAATAATTTTCCCTAAATTCCTCTACTGTCTATATTTTACTTTACTCTTTTAAAAAAAATTCTAACTTAAATATGAGAATTGATATCAAATTGCTATCTGTGATCATCCTTGAGGTATAAAATTGCAATACACTTTTGCTTTAGAGCTGATCTTTTTGTAATATTTGAACATTTTCCCATAGAAATAAATAACATCTATAATCAGATGAAAAAAAAAAGCAAAAAAAATACAATCAGATGGTTCCCAAGATTTTTGTGCATAGATCACATTGTTACTATAATTTTAAAAAACAGGCAAAATACATTGATAGAATATATATATAAGTTACTAAACTGTAAAGATCATAGTTTTAAAGAATATTCATGAGAAAATACTTTTATGTTGAAGCAAATGGATATAAGACACCAATCCAAAAAATATATATATGCATATACTAAGTAAGCTCTGAGTAAACAAATTATTTTTTTTAATATTTATTTTTTAGTTTTCGGCAGACGCAACATCTTTGTATGTGGTGCTGAGGATCGAACCTGGGCCGCACGCATGCCAGGCGAGTGCGCTACCGCTTGAGCCACATCCCCAGCCCAAGAAGTTATTAATACACCAACTTAGCAGAATACACACATTTAAAATAGAAAAGAAAATTCACCAAAATTAATATAGTTATCTCCAGATCAGTAAACAAGTCACTTTACTTTGTAACTTTATACTCTTGTATATACTCAATTTTTGCTTTAGTAAACATAAATTTGTTACTTTTATATTAGTCAGAAAAGTTATTTTTTAAAATTTTTTAGTTGTTGTTAGACCTTTATTTTATTCACTTATTTATATGTAGTGCTAAAAATCAAACCCAGTGCCTCACACATGCTAGTCAAGCACTCTACCACTGAGCCACTGCCCCAGCCCCAGAAAAGTTATTTTTAAAACATGGGTTTCAGCACCAAAGGAAAAAAAAAAAAGAAAAACCCTGAAACAAAATAAAAAAATATCAGATTCAATGGATATGGTAGTGGTCTTCCATTCAGAATGAGATGGAAGTGGACTGGACAGGGAGTCAGAACTTTATCCTGCCATATGAGTGGGTCTACCTGACAGACAGGCTTCTTAAATGAAAAGATAATTGGATAATTTCCATTAAGACATTCCAACTCCAAAATTCTCTGAATCATGGACTAAATGAATTAGTTCTTGTAAAGAATTCATAGAAATATCTGTGACACGGTATGCACACAAGATGTGTTGGATGTTATTTTGATCAAAAAACCTATATAGAAGGAAAGATGACTTGGTGATGACCCCTCTTCTCTAACCATGGATCATCTGAGCTGTTACTATATTGTCTAATTGAGGGGGCAGGGAACTTTTTCTGTAAAGGGCCAGAAAGCATATTAGGCTTCATCAACTAAACTCTCTTTCTGTTGCAATTTCAAAGTTGCCTTTGTTCGAGCTGGGGATGTGGCTCAAGCGGTAGCGCACTCACTTGGCATGGGTGCGGCCCAGGTTCAATCCTCAGCACCACATACAAAGATGTTGTGTCCGCCAAAAACTAAAATAAATAAATAAATAAATAAATATATATATATATATATATATATATTTATATAAATTCTCTCTCTCTTTAAAAAAAAGAGGGAGAAGAACATTATTTTTTTAAAAAGTTGCCTTTGTAATTTTAAGACAGCAATAGACTATATGTAAATAAATGAGCTTGGCGGTATTTCAATAAAATTTTACCAAAAAATATGTAGGCCAAATTTGGCCCATGTCCCTCGGTTGGCTGACCCACAGTCTTATATACTACCTATAAAGGAAAGTACATATGCTTCCCTAAGTGTCTATTGTGGAGTAATCGGATTGTTAGTGAATTTTTTAAAATATTTTTATTTTTTAGTTATAGTTGGACACAATACCTTTATTTTATTTATTTTTATGGGGTGCTGAAGATTGAATCCAATGCCTTGCATGTGCTAGGCGAGTGCTCTACCGCTGAGCCACAACCTCACCCCCAGATTGTTAGTGATTTTAAGATGCTAAAACGATCTATCTGCAGATCTAGGGGAAGACGGATATTATAATAAAGGGCAAAAGGAAAAAGGATCTTTTGGGGAGGGGTAGCAGGGAATGAACTCAGGGGCATTCATTGACTAAGCCACATCCCCAGCCCTATTTTGTATTTTTTTTAGAGACAGGGTCTCACTGAGTTGCTTAGCATCTCGCTTTTGCTGAGGCTGGTTTGAACTCGTGGTCCTCCTGCCTCAACCTTGGAGCTGCTGGGGTTACAGGCATGCGCCACCACTCCCATCATGAGAAAGGATCTTTAATACATCATCTTGCTAATCTAATAGGGAGCTGGCTTCCTTTTCATATCTCTTAAACTATTTCTTCACTGCTACTTCCTTACCCTTCAATAATTACCTAAAGTGGTCTAAGTCAGGTGCAGGGTTTTTTTTAAATACACTTATTTATTTATTTTTATGTGGTGCTGAGGATCGAACCCAGGGCTTCGCACATGCGAGGCGAGCGCTCTACCGCTGAGACACAACCCCAGCCCCCAGGTGCAGTTTTTCAAGAATTTAAAACTGCAATTTCTTCAATAAGACTATAGTGAAATGTACTAGTCTCTGAAACCCTCCTTAGTCTGCCTGTTGGCACTAAATAACACACAGCTGTAGCAGCAATTTGCATGTACCTTTTCTACAACCTTGGGTCACTTAGTAGCAATATGCTCTTGGGCAAATAACCTATTGTCTCTGTTTCTGTTTTCTTTGCTTAAAAAATTACAGATAATATGCAGTTGCGAAGATCAAATAAATTAGAACTGGCTTTTTATACAGTGCTAAATAAATGTGGTTTAAAAATATTATCCAAGTGTAATTATAATGCTTCAATTTTAAAAAGAACCAAAAAATAAAATATCACTCAAACCCACTCATATACATATCTTCCAGCACTAGATTAGAAGCATTTTTCCTTTGGGGAAGCTACAATTCCACTTACGGAGTAATCTGATTGATTATTCCTTGTTCCTGAATTCCATGAATGTTTGGTGATAATGGATTGCAACATTTTGTTGGAAAACAAACGTTGCACACAAGCTGTCACATAACTCCCTGTCAACTCTGAGCCTGGTGAAGAACACAGGGCACCGACTGACTACTTGACAGTGCAACGTTAGAGATCAAGAGGCAGCCTCTGTACTCTCCAGGATTAGAACTTAGGTCCTGACACTTCCCACTTAAGTGCGGTTTACACTACGAAGACGGTCCCTAAACAAGATTCTTGGTTGTAGAATAGGCTGGGGTTAGAGACTGGTATGGGGACCGAGAATTCTGAGCCCCAGGCCTTCGTTTTCCGACATGGTTATGAGCTCTCCATCATTCACATCCCATTCATTCATCATTTATTCATACATTCACTGTCATCTTCTTAGGTTTATCATCTGTATTGGACACTTAGCTGGGCTCTGGGCTTTGTGGTGCTAGTGGTCAGACTGTAGGCTGGACCCGGCCAAGAAGCCCGGGGTGCCCCGGGTTCCAGGCTGCACGCGCAGACAGCAATCCCAGGAGGAAGCTCCGGCCGGCCGCCCCCAGCCACTGCGCGCCGAGACCTCTCCGTTCCCCTCTCCGGACCCGTGCCGCTCACCGTGAGATCCCGGGGCTCCCGCTGGGCGGTGTCTACGGTCTCAGGGGCTTGTGCAGACCCGGGAAACTGGGTTCCAGTCTCGGACCAGAAAAATGGTGGCGCGGTCGGTAGTGCGTTAGCTGAGTTCTTGCACATCTTCGACTGCCTTTCTAGGAATTGGGAGGATCATCTCTATGGTATCCTGGAGAAGGCGCGCTCTCAGAGACTAGCCTGCAAGCTCAGCTTGTTTCCCTTCAAGCCCAGCCACGTTCCTGATGTCTCCCTAAAGATTAAGTCCGGCTGGAACACATACTGCAAAAAAATTATAAAGGGCGGTGTTAGGGGGCTGGGGATGTAGCTCAGTGGTAAAGTGCTTGCTTTGCATGCAGAGGTCCTGGGTTTGATCCTCAGCACCACCAAGTAAATAAATATATATATATATATATATATATATATATATATATATATATATATATATTAAATCAAAGGGCGGTGGGAAGGATGAAAAGGTTCCTGGATAGAAGTTGGAAGGGGCACTCTCAGCATTGAGCTATTTTAAGGAGCATATTATATTATCTGCTTAAAATAGCGCCTCCAGAGGGCTGGCCTAGCATGCACAAGGCGCTAGGTTCAATCACCAGCATCACAGTACACACACACACACACATACACACACACACACACACACCAATTAAGAACTGCGAATGCTCCTGGTATGTTAGAATAAAGGACAAACTCCGAAATTGGGACTACAAAAAAAAGACCTCAGATCAACATCTCTTATACATGTATTCTGCTCTAACATTGAATTCCCCTTGGCACCCTGAAATCCCTATCCTGTTCCTGATCCTCAATTGTTTTTTCCAGGGGTTGCCTTCTGGAATATTCGCCCTCTCTTCTATCTAATCTCTTCCACCTCAGCCATCTAACTCATATTGCTTCTTTAAAACCCAATGCTAATCTTGACATGACCACCTTGGCTGTTGCCTTCACTGGTATTCACAGTCCAGTCTAGTTTGTATGGAATTAGTGGGTGATAACTGTAGGCAGGTGGGGTGTAACTGAAGGAGATTGGTCACAAGGCATGTGCTCTGAAAGGATGAATTTAAAAATATAAAAATTTTCATATTCTTTATAATATAAAATATATTGTACTTCCTATGAGAGGGATTTCTAATGGTAATTTAGTTTTCCTTCTTATATAAAGAAGCAACATACAGCTTTATATACAGCATATTTAGATGTTGTTACCAAACTGAGCATACACTTCCTCCCCTTTTACTTCCTGTTGAAACCTCATTTGGTTTAGGTATTTGCATCTCTTCCATTCAGCCATGAACACCATAGAAATCTCAACTTCGTTGGTCTCTTGATTTATGTAAGAACAGTAGAATTCCTCTTGCCTATGACTGTCTCAAGAATGGGCAAATGACAATTAGATTTTGCATTTTGATAAAACGCCCCAAGATTTAGTGGACTAAACAATGAACACTTTTGCTTCTACTAATTCAGTGAGTCAACTAAGGGGTGGGTTTTTCTAGTCTGGAGTGTTTTAGGATGGGTTGTTTAGGATGAAATGGCCTGGATTACATGTCTTGTCACTGACAATCTGGTTGGTTGGGGGGGTTCATCAGTTGGGAACGCTTGTCAGTGCTCCATTCTGGGCTTTGTAATATGGTAGGTAGCCTCAAGAGTTCCTAGAGTGGCAGAAGAGAGCAAGCCCCAGTGGCACTTTGTCAGCCTCTACTTGCAACAGTTTTCCCTGGACAAAACAGTTCACATGCTGAGCCTATGTTCAGGGGATAGAGAGGAGAGTCTGGTATTATGCTAGCTTTTTGTTACTCTGACCAAAAAACCAACTGGGCCAAAAGCAACTTAGAGTTGTTTCATTTTGGCTCATAGTTTCAGAGATTTATTCCTTAGTCAGTTGAGTCCATTACTCTAGGCCCAAGGTGAGGCAGAAGAGCAGGGTGGAAGGACATGGGGGAGAAGTGCTGTTCACCTCATGGTGGCCAGGAAGCAAAGAGACAGGAAGGGGTGCAGGAAAGATGCATCATTCCGGGTGCATGTCCCCAGTGATCCACTTCCTTCAGCTACATACCACCTGCCTACAGTTATCATCCAGTGAGATCATTCAAACAAGGATGGTCCTTGGGACAATTCTGCATTAACACAGAAGCTTTTGGAGGACACCTTGTATCCAAATCCAACTACTTATTGTGAAGAACTACAAGTCTGTGAACATTAGTACACAGAGGTGTGAAGAATATGTAGCCATTTTTAAAATCTTTCCAGGACATAACATATATTGCATTTTGTACTTAGGAAAGGGAAAGGAGATTTCTTCCTTTTTTTCTTTTCTTTTTCTTTTTTTTCTTTTTTTTTTTGGGTAGCAGGCATTGAACTCAGGGGCACTCAACCACTGACCCACATCCCCAGCCCTATTTTGTACTTATTTAAAGAGAGGGTCTCACTGAGTTGCTTAGTGCCTCACCGTTGCTGAGGCTGGCTTTAAACCTGTGATCCACCTATATAGGCCTCCAAAGCCTTTGAGATTACAGGCATGCACTACCAAGCATAGCTGAGAAAGGAGACTTCTGGCAACGATGTTCAACATTCTGAAATAACATTCCAAAAGCAATTGTCTCTTGCAGCAAAGTTATTATTGGCTGTAAGAACCAGAACACTGTCACCATGTGAAAAAGTGTATATACTGAAAAAGTACATACAAACAAGGATTTTGAGACCATCATGCATCTCTCCCTCTTGAGGACACCCACAGTCTATTTTTGAGTTTGTACCCCTTTGCTGTCCTTAAAATCTTTGTTTGTACCTTGATTACTGACAACTCCTGAAATTATTTTCTGTGGCAAACATGGAGAACTTTCCTTGGGCCAGACACAGTACCTCATATCTATAATTCGAGAAGCTCAGGAGGCTGAGGCAGGAGGATCTCAGCAACTTATCAAGGCCCTAAGCAACTCAGCAAAACCATTCAAAATAAAAAATATAACAAGGGCTGGGAATGTGGCTCAATGGTTGAGTGCCTCAGTTCAATCCTGGTGCCAAAAAAAGAAAGAAAAAAAGAAAAAGAACTGCCTGGGGGCTGAGGACATAACTCGTCATTGATAGAGTGCTTGCCTACCAAGTACAAGGCCCTGGGTTCAAAACAAAACAAACCTGCCTGGGGCCCAGTTGAGATCCCCTTCTCTTTGGAGGAATCTCAGAGCCCTGTCTGGTGACAAATTGGTAATTTTGGTGATCTTCAGGAACTCAGAAATCTAGCCCACTTTCTTAGTTAACCTGGGATGTCACCAAAAAAAAAAAAAAAAAAAAAATAGACTGGGATGCTTACTGCTCAACCCCAGGACTGCAAAGTCCCCAAAGTATTTTCCAATCCCAAAGAAAGGACATGGAGCACTCAATGGAGAGGTTTTAGACATTTTATTACTCACTCCTCGGTGGTGGCAGGCCACAATGCCATGGAGGGCCATTCTGTGCCTACAAGCTGAGGGAATATATATATGATAGGTGGCATGCCCACCTTGAGGGTAGACTTCCTTCAGACGTTTTATGAGTTCATTCCTAGGTCACTCTCTTTCCTAATGATTGGAAGTAAGGGAAGTGGCCCCCTCCTGACTTCCCTTGTTACCACATTCTTTTAGAGACCTAACTCATTGCAAGCTTTCCAGACACTGATTAGTGTTTAACCCAACACTTAGGATATTGGAAATGTCTTTTCTCATAATTCTGGATGCTGGAAAGTCCAAGATTAAGGTGCTGGCCGATTTTGTTTCCTGGGTTGTAAATGGCCACCTTTGTCTGGCAGGGAAAGAGAAACAGAAAAGAAAGGAGGAAATACAAGCTCTCTGGTATCTCTTCTCATGAGAACACTATTTCCATCATCAGCCCCCTGCCCTGATAACCTCAACTAACCTAAATTTCATTCCAAAGGACTTGTCTCCAAGTAACCTCACACTGGGGGTTTGGGCTTCAACTCATGAATTGAGGGAAGAGACACAATTCAGTCCCCAGCACCATCTAAAATGATGTGAAGTGTCATATCTAAGGTTTGGCAGGGTGGTGAGCTTGAATAAGCCTGTTTCCCTGAGGAATCTGTGGAGCAGAGCTACTGTGCCAACCCTGGGTTGCCTTTACATTTTTCAGAATGAAGAGACATAAATTTCCACCTTCATGTGCCATGGTTATTTCTTATTCTCAAACTAACTTAATCTTAAACTGATACCACTACTTGAGAAAACAAATTGCCTGGTGAGCCTGGAACTGTAGAGCACAGGTAGCTGATGTTCATGATGAAGGTCTCCAAGCCATGAACGTTGATGCACTATTTCCTACTACACCAGCCAGGAGGACCAGTTATTTATATCATTTGGTTAGGGGACAAGATGCTCTAGCCTGGATGAAAGACCCTCTGACAAATGTTGGCTATTTAAGCTACATTGTTCCAGGACTCTCTCCAAACCAGGGACACCCAAAGGTTTTTACTGTTGCCCCACCTGATACTTACCCACTGAGGGCTGACTCCCTCCTCAGTAACCCTCTTGAAAGTACTGCCAAGTCCATCCGTGTTGTGGACTGTGATACCCAGAGGCCAGACTCTGCAGTCACTCATTTTGCCTGTGTTCCAACCCATTTTCCACCATTTAATGCCTACCTGTGGGCCATCTTCCTAACCTCTGCCTTATTGACCCTGTCTGTAAAACTGAAAATCTTCCGTAGGGGCATTGTGTGGGTTAAGTGAGTAAAATATATAAAACAGTCACATAGAGTAAGTGTGCCCTGTAACTGCCATGTGACATAAACAGCTATAGCTTGGTGTGGTAGCATGTACCCGTAGTCCCAGCTTGCCGGGAAGCTGAAGTAAGAATGCTTGAACCCAGGAATCTGAGACCAGCCTGGGCAACCTAAAACCCTTTCTTAAAATAAATAAATAAAATCGCTTTAATTATTAATTTGCTTTCCTGCTGAGACATGGCCCAATAGCATTTCTGCCAGAAACTCCAGGGATAACCTATAAGGCCAGAGAAACTACTGCTTTCCTTTATAGAAGGCTGTGGGAACTGTGCCATTTCAAGCCATAACAGCCTCCAGTTTCAGGCCTGTCAGGGGAGGCTCAG